CTACCAGTTGTACCCTCCTCCCTCTTTTTTTCTTTTCTTTGTCTTACATTTTGATCATAATTCTCCTCTGGTTATTGAGTCTATTTATTCTGTAACTATAATATCTTTAGGCAAATTATTTTATGTCCTCATGAAGATAATTTTTCTTTGAAAATTTCATAAATATATACACATTGTATCTCGATCATACCGTCTCAACTCTTCCCAGGACCTCCATCACATCTCCCTCTTAAACTTCATGTCTCCCTTTAAATATTATTTATTTTAAGGGCTGCAGAGATGGCTTAGTGGCTAAGAGCATATGCCTCTTTTCCAGAGGACCTGAGTTCGAATCCCAGCACTCGTGTTGAAAGGACCAAGCAGAAGCCATGACAGGCTGCTCAGTCTTCTCTCAGAGATCAGGCCTCAATGTCAGTTTCCTGAGACTTGAGCTGTTGTGCCTGCATCGCGAGACCCTCAAGCAAGACCACCACAGAGCCGATATCCAATGCAAAACACACAGGGGTTTATTGATAACAAGCACGTTTGGGCTTGGTCCTCATCCAACACTCGACACAGCAGGTAGAGGAGGACAGCCCTGACCTCTCAGGATGAGGGGTTTTTAAAGGGAAAAACCTCAAGCAGGGTGGTACAAGCCTTTCCATCATATGATTGGGGGAGAGTATGTAACCTTTGAATTTACTGGTTGGGGGTTACAGCTATCATTTTGGGGCAGGCCTGGGCAAGTCTAAGACTTTGTCCTTGTGCTGCCATGGGGGCTGGCTGGCCTAGCTCGTACTGACTATGGGGGCTGACTCAGTGGTCCAGGCTCTGTCTTTGAGGTGCCATGGGGGCTGGCTGGTCTTGCATGTTCACATTGGCCCGTGCATGTAGCTCTAAGTTGGTGAGGGGTCCCAGACAGTAAACAACTGGCTGAACCTTGAGCAGTCAGAGTATGTGCAGAAAGGGAGCTACTGCAAGGACTATGTCTTTTGTTCACGACCCTCCCAGAAACTGCTTGCTCAAGTCTCAGGAAACTGAAATTGATGCCTGATCTCTGAGAGAAGACTGACAGCCTGTTATGGCATCTGCTTGGTCCTTTCAGAGCAAGCAGTTTCTAGGAGGGCCATTAACAAAAGACACAGTCCTTGCAGTAGCTCCCTTTCTGCATGTACTCTGACTTCTCAAGGTTCAACCAATTGTTTGCTGTCTGTGACTACTCACCAACTTAGAGCTATGTGCATGAGTCAAGGACAGAGACTGGGCCACTGAGCCAGCCCCCACAGCCAGTACCTGCTAGCCCAGCCAGACTCCATGGCAGCTCAAAGACAGAGCCTGGAACTTGTCCAGGCCTGCCCCCCAAAATGATAACTGTAACCCCCATCAGTAAATTCAAAGGATCTACATCCTCACCCAATCATATGATGCCAAGGCTTGTACTACCCTGCTTGAGGTTTTTCCCTTTAAAAACTCCTCACCCTGAGAGTGCAGGGCTGACATCCTTCTCTACCTGCTGTGCTGGAGTATTGGACACAGACCAAGCCCGAGCTTGCTTGTTATCAATAAACCCCTGTGTGTTTTGCTTTGTGGTCTTGCTTGGGGGTCTTGTGACCCAGGCACAAAAGTGCCAGGTGGCTCACAACTGCCTGAAACTCCAGCTCCAGGGGGAACTGACATAGCTGCCCTTGGGCACCCGTGCGCACACAGGCACACACACGGACACACACACACACAGGCACACACGGGCACACACGGACACACACACACACACACAGACACACAC